AGCGACTGAGCATCGATAACATGTCACAATAATTTCTGGATAGTTTGCATTGCATCGTTAAATTATGCAACTTAATTTCATCAACTTGTTTTGATAAGGATACATTTGGTACATCTTACAGCATTATGACAAATAGGATTAGGAGGATATAAATAGAGGGGACTGGATTAAAGTGGATTATGATGGATTTTTGTAACACATGGTTTACAATCATACGTACAATTATCCAAAAAAAAGAAAAAAAGAAGGGGGTTACTACAAAATCAAATTTCGATGCGATAAATTATCCGAATGCATGGCTCAATCGTATATATTGTGATAATTATGCTCAAATTTTCGAGTACATATTAAAATGTTAAAACTATAGTAACGTATATTGCTTCAACTATTACGGGATTTAACTTGTGATTTTAATTTATATGTCTTCCAATGTATCTCTCTACCTACCATTTAAGTTTTGAAGGATCAATTTAGGACTTAAAATAATCTAAAGGACTTTGACTATTTTCAATATTAATTCACAAGATCTAGATTAATTCTCCCTTATAGATTCTGAAAATTTTTGCTTAAAATTCAATTCAAGTTTGACTTATAATTTACAAGCCACAATAGATTGTTTTAACTATTTTGGAAAACAGTTTACGATATTAAAGACGGCTCATTAAATTTTATCTTGAAACTATAAATATTAGAACTTATACTATTTCTATAACCTGTAGAAAAGAATAAAAAGGAATTGAGACCCTGATTCATTATTTTGGAAAATAATATCTAACTTATTATCCCATGTAGAGTTTAGAAAATTTAGCTTAAAATTCAATTCTTGATTGACCTTAAATCAAAATAATTTGAATTATTGCAACTATTTTGGAAAACAATTTACGTTGAAGATGTCCACTTGAAAAATCTTATCTCGATAAATCCAATTAATGATGAATTGTCAATATTACAACTCATGTCAATTTATGACTTTAAAGGAAAATTATTATATGGTCTCATCCCATTTAATCATGTTTAAATTTGGAAAATTTCTTGTTATGTTACAATTTACACGCACTCAATGATTCAATGACACAATATCTGATAGATTTAATACAATTTCGGAAAAAATTAGTGCAATGAACACTTGTGGAGGATAAGGCAAAAACTTAATTTGTGAAAGAGAGAATTTCACCAAACATTTAGTTGTGTATTGTCACATAGTGCAACAACTTATTGGTTAATTAGATTAACATAATACAAATTACATTTACATATCGCACTGACTTTTTTGGTGGCAAATGGCAATTATGTTGATTCAAGCCATTGGAAGAAAAAATAAAATAAAATAAAATTTTCCCTTTGGGAGATTATCCTTTAATTACCTACTCATAAAGTAAAAAAAAAAAAAAAAAAAAAAATTCAACCTCATATTTTAAAAAAGAATTTATTTTATTTTCTCTCTCTCTTTTTTTCCTCTGGAATTTTGGAACTTTTTATTGTAATTTTGAAACCAAGTATTAAATGATAGATTAACTCAATATTGGAAATTAGTATTGTAATCAATATATACGAGTCAAATCGTATCAAGGTAAATGTCAAGATTATGTGAATAAAATTTAATGTGAAGCCAAGGATTAGGTGTCAAAACCCCTCCACAGCCCCCACCCAACAAATTTTTCTTCGTGTGTAATAAATACTCATACTCTATAGAAAAAAACTAATTAAAACTTGTGAAAGCTGGTCCACCATTTTGCTCAAAAATTATTCTTGAATTCTCTGTAGTACATAAATAGGGAATAAAGCAAGTTTGTCCCTTTTACCTCCCGCCCCATTTTGCATGGCTATGTCACTTACTTAATTCCGCCACGTCTCTACTACCAAGCCACTCATTCACTAACTTTCTCTCCCTCTACACCAAATCTTTCCTAGCTACTGCCATCATCAAAGTGCAAGATTTTCAACCCTTTCTTGCTCTTTAAAATTATTCTTGGTTTTCCTTTTTCTTGTTGTTGCTAAAGTGAAGAGCTGGTTTTTCTCATCATGGACGACTGGGATGCTCAAAAGATGTGAGTTTATACATGTATTTAATATATACTATAATGTAGTTTTCTTTTTTTGAATAAATTTTTGATTTCTTGAGTTTTTTATTTTTGATTTTTGATTTTTTTATTTTAATAAATATCAAATTTTTTGAGGACTTGTTTAGGTTTGCTTAAAGAAAATCTTGAAGTTTTTGAGAGTTTGTTTTTGCTTACATCTTCTTGAGAAACATTAAGGGACTGTTTTCTTCGTGTTTGAGTTTTCTAATTTTGAATTTTGAATTCATTTTGGGTTTTGTGTTTTGAGTGTTCATTTTGAAATTGTTGAAAATACGCTCTTTTTGTCATTTTAGAAAACCGTTTCTCAAAACACGAAATTAAAGAATGCGTTTACTTGTAAATTTTGAGAATAATTTTTTATAACATTTTCTTCAAAAAACCAGCACAACTCCACCACAAAGCCGTTACCACTAGAATCACCATTGCCAACCAGTCGCCATCGCCATCGCAACCACCACAACCAAACCCATCACAACCAATCATCGCCACAACCAGTCACCAAGATAGCCAATCACCACCATAAAATCGACCGTCGGTACCATCACCATCAACACCACTGCTAAAATCATCATCGTCGACTGACGGTACAACTATCAATGAAAACCAAAATTGCCACCACCATCAACCGAACCCGCCACCACCATCAACCAAAACCAAAAAACCTCCAACAGTATTAGAGAGAAGAAACCAAATCGCCTCCACCTTCAACACCCATCGTCGTGCTGCGAACGTTGGGCCCAACCACAGCAGCGTTGCGAGCGACGAATAGGTCATGACGCTGCTGTGGTTTGGAGCAGCGTTGCCTCCCCACACCGGCGCCAGCACCGACACCACCACCATCAACCACTCCTTTGTCGTCGCCGTCAAGAAGGGAGGAGCAGGAGACGGCCCAATGGAGAGAATGAAGATGGAAGTCTCACGGCCATCCAATTTTTTCTCTCTCTCCTGTTTTGGTGTGTTTTGGGTTTTGGGCATGTTTTTAATATTTTCAATAGAAAACACTCAAAATGACCTTTTGGTCGTTTTGTGTTTTCTTCAAAAAAAAAAAAATTTTAGTTTTCGAAAACATATTTTCATCGTTTTGAAAAATCAAAAATAGAAAACGACCAGAAGACGTCAAAGAGAACAGCCCCTTAATTTCTGAACTTATTCTGTTGTGTGCTTTTTTAATTTGGGATTTGCAGGCTTGACTTGTATATTCTTGATTACATGGCAAGAAACAACATGCACACAAGTGCTGAGAATTTCGCTAGAGAGGCTGGAGTTATTCTCGATGATGTTGGTATATAAATTCTCCCCTTTGCTATCTCTTCTACATTCTGTAATTTAATTCCACTCCTCATTTTTATTTTTTTTAATCTCGAAAAATAATTATTTTTCATCTCAATTTTAGTAAATTTTTCTGTAAGGTTTTTCGATTGATGTGTGGGCTTTTGTAAAATATTTTATCGTGGATGAAATAAATTCGAGCAGCTAAATCTGTTAGGTTGGATGCTTGAAATTAGGGTTATAATCTTGGAAGATCACGTTTTGATTTGGACTTGGAAAGACATCAAGTTGTATCCACCAAATAAGGAAAGAAAATCGTGCCTTGAAGACCTTCAATGCGGTTGCATACCTTTACCCCATGCGGTCGCATGGGGCAATGCAGAAAGTTTTCTACTTCTTCTATGCGACCGCATAGACTTGCCCTATGTGGTCACATAGAGTAAATTCTTGGGCGTCGGCGCCGTTTTTATTTTTACGCGTTTTCTTGACCTAGTTTGCATCTTTTGCCAACTTCTAGGGTTAGACTCGTGTAGTATAAATATAAGTCTTCTCTTTCAGTTTAGGAGAAGCCTTTATTGTTGCGTCGTTGAAATTCTCTCCATATAGTCAATTAATAATACATCTTGCCTCTATTTTAATTCCTCTTTNAGAAGCCTTTATTGTTGCGTCGTTGAAATTCTCTCCATATAGTCAATTAATAATACATCTTGCCTCTATTTTAATTCCTCTTTTCTTCTTTACTTTTATATTTTGTTATATTGTTGCAATCCGTAATACTTCATATTGCTCCATTAATTTCATTCTTTACAACTCGATTGGGATCAACAAAATCTATGCCAATAAGATGAGAAAAAAAAATCACAATTTCTAACTAGGAAAATTATGTAAAAATTCTCATCAATTCAGAACGATTGATGTCTTTTCGTGCATGAAATAATTTCTTGATTTTACGTAAGTGCCATTCCAAATTTCCACAGGTCTCTGAATTTGGCATTAAATGTTAAATAATTGTAGGTGTATATAGCCGAAGAAGCACTAATTATAAAGTACGAAATTGCTTTAAAAACTATGTTATTTATCATCATTAAAAGAAGAAGTTATCTCTATTTTCAGCATGAAATAATTTCTTGATTTTACGTAAGTGCTATTCCAAATTTTCACACGTCTCTAAATTTGGCATTAAATGTTAAATAATTGTAGGTGTATATAGCCGAAGAAGCACTAATTATAAATTACGAAATAATTGCTTTAAAAACTATGTTATTTATCATCATTAAAAGAAGAAGTTATCTCTATATTCATATGCAATACTACTTCATTAGTTTATTTTGTCGAAGCATGAAGAAAGTAGCTCTAGTGTGATTTCAAATAATATCTTATGGGTTTTCTCTTAACATAATGTTTTTATTTTATTGTTTTCCCAGAAATCAATCCTCCGGAAGGGTTTTTAATAGATTGGTGGTCCTTATTTTGGAATATGTATTGCAATAGTGTTGAAGCTCCAAGGCGTCATGAGACTCTTGAAGCGTCATCGTTTAAGGTGTTATACGCATTTTCATTTTATTCATATCACATTTTTGTTCAACAGAATATGCATTTCAAGGTTTGTATCGATTAATTGTCAGGAGACAACAAGAAATGTCAATCCTCCAATGTTAAGGCCAGAGTTCAGACATATGCTGAACATCTGTCCAGAAATACAAAGGTCGGATCCTAATATTCTTCAAGGTGTTGGTCTAAGCTGGACAGCTCCAAGGCAAGATATGATAAATTTGCTTCACGGGATTAGTCCTGAAATGAACCAGAATGCTTTGCTGCAAAGGGCTAGTCCCGGAATGAATCAGGATGAGTTTGGACATTTTCCTATTGGTCAAGGCTTCAATATGAACCATGGACAACTAATGCCAAATTTTATATCCGGAACAGTGGGCGAGCAAGAGCTTCCGAGGTTTCCTTCCATGAACTCGATGTCCAATTCACAACTTCCTAATATTGCTCAATTAGCTCAAATGCTACCATCTTCAAGCAATTTCAGGTAACACTTATTAAGACTTGGAATTATATTTTAAAGATCAATCTTATTAAGAGGGGTATTTTAAACCCTTATAAATTGGCCTATGTTATCGTTTTTATTCCTTTAACATGTCATTGTAAGATGTGTCTCGTAACATGCCGTCGCAAGATGATGGCTCATTTGAGTAAACCAATCTTGAAATTTGTGCTCTCAATTTTTTAGTCTTAATTGAATCGAATTGTTTGTTCGAATATAATGGATTTTGATACCATATTAGAATTTGAAACTCCATCTTAAAATGTCAATTTTATTAAGAAAAGTAGTCCAAACTGTTAACTGGTTTATGTTTTCATCTTTAGTCCCTTAACAACACTCACTCAAGTTCATCGTCTCATAGATAATTTAAATTCCAACCATTTTACACTCCATGTCCATGCAAGTCATTTGACTCAGACTTTTGAAGTGGGTGCTAAAAGGTATCAATAAAATGATGGTCTCATCAGTTTTGTTTAGTAATGTTTAACTAATCCTTTCTTCAATATACAATCATTCTTACAGCTCACTCGAGCAACAGATTTCAATGAAGCATCAGCTGGAGGTTAACAGAGTACGTCTCAATATTTTACAGTCTTGTTTCATAAAATGAAATGAATATGAGAGAAGATTTAACTTGTTTTGCAGGTTGATGGAGCTGGTAAAAGCCCCAATAAATGTAAAATTATAGACCCAAGTAATGGAACTCCAGAACCGAAAATAGAACCTTCTCATACTGGTTTGTCTACATTCTGGTTTGATATATTTGGAAATGTGCAAGGCATTCATTTTGATGGTACACAAGATCACCCGGAGTAACATGTGTTTGAATTGAGAACTTTCCTACAGTATTCAAACTTTTATATATTGTAAAATATTAAGAAATTATGATTCTTAACTGTCCCTGCAAAAATAATCTTGCCTAGGCACTTTGTTATATTTTATTTTCAAAGAATTAAAAATCACAAAATGGTTTTCCTCTTTCCTTTCTATAGTTCGTATCCTCGAGTTTCCATTGAAAGGGTAAAATTCATTCATGGAAACTATAATTTTACTGAGTGTCAATTAAGTAATTGTACTTTAATTTTATTCGATTGGGTATTAATTTGAATTCAATCAGCTAACTTAATCTAATTTTGTCACTTGGACGAATTGAAATCAGGTAGTCACACTTTGATTTGATTTCAGTTATGGTAACTTCATCCAATTCCACTCTTGATAATGCCTTAGTAAATAAATAGTAATAATCACACACGTAACTATTAGTTATAATATAGAGCTATAATTTTACATTTGCTTGGTTATTAATTTCAAATATGTTTGGACAATGAGCTTTAGATGCTCTATTTTCTATTGTATCTACTTCATCTTTTTCTTCATGCAATCTTTCTATAAAGTTACTTGCTTTTAAATCTGGACATAATCAACACAAGACAGTTATCGTGAAGAAAGGTTGTGTAAGAAACATAGATTCTCATACAAGAGAAATATATTTCATATATCTGCAAATTCTGTTTAAATTTAGTAAATATAATAACCACTCATACTTTGTTGTCCAATATGTGACGAACTCTTTGATAGAGGTTTAAAATTAATGGACCAATTCATGACAGATGCTTAGTTGTTGTTATCATGGTACCAGGCTCTTCAACAAGTTCCAGCTCTGACTCGTGTTCAACTCCAAGTCCGGCTCAAGCTCCATCTCCAACTCCAACTTGACGTAGGATGTCGTCAAAGTCGTTCCAGTAAACAAAAATAAACTTGGAACTTGTTCGGAATTTATTTTTAAAAGAAAAACCATTTAATTTTCTATCATTTCTTTCCCAAAATTGGAATTTGTTGGGAATTCATTTTATTAGTTGAAGTTATACCATTGAAGTGTTTTGATTTAGTTTCATATATAGTGGATTGAGTCTATATTTATCTAGGTTAGATGTTTTCTTCCATATTTATTATTTCTTGTTGCATTTGATGGTATCAGAGTGAGGATTCCGTTGGCTTGATGGCTAATAATGGAGTAGATGGTGCTGAATATATATGAAATCTAAACTTTATAAACTTTACATAATTGTCAAGATCTCCATGTCAAATCACCAAGAAAAATAATGAATGTGGAACGCTTTGATCCATTGATTCGTCTATTGAATTTATAATCTTTGAATCTTGTCTTTCGAATCTTTAATCTTAATTCTTGATTATGGATTCTTGAATTCTTCTTCTTAATTCTTGAATTCCTTTATGCGGATTTTCAAATCTTCCTCTTCAATATGCTTTCTTTTTAAAGTGTTGATGGGATGATATAAAGAATGAGAAATTACATAAAAATTGTGGATCATATAACCCAATATATAGTTTTCATATGCATTTCGCCCACCATGAAATAGAATTCTAAAGGAATATGATCTCTATATATATAATTTGGCTCACACTTTATTTAGATACAATAAACCCAATTATTTAATTCTTTATTAGATCACGTTAGTTTTGGACTTAACTTTAAAATAGCATTTATACTAAATTAATTACATATGTTGGCTCACGTTGAAAATTAATAATTTTCCAACAATCTCCTAATTGGACGACATATGTTACTTTATAGATGTGTATAACCTTATGAGCTCAATACTTTTGCTATCATGACGAAAAGGCATTTTCGAACAATCTTGTACATTGATTATGCTAATATAGGATCAAATTGATTTTCGTTACAAATATCATAACTAAACCCATCAATGGTCACGTATATCAATACAATCAGATGACATAAATCAAGTATGGACGTTTAGCATGAAAATTAGATGTAATGTGATCTAAACATACCTATTTCCAACTTATCCTACTTTATTCTTTATAGCTTATGCTCTAATGAGATCAAACCAAAAAATTTAATCAGATGTATAAAAAAAACAACATTCAAAATTTCGAACTCCTACTAAACTAGCATATCATCAAAACGTACAACACCTATGTAAGCAATATACTCATGAAAGATATTGGGTGGTAGTCCTTTAGTAAATGGATCTGTTATCATGGAGTTTGTCCCAATATAGAACATGACCACTCTGAACTCTTTCTTTAACAATTAGGAATTTGATATCTATAAACTTAGACTTTGTTGGATTCCTATTGTTATTTTAATACAAGACTGCTAACTTATTGTCACAAAATAAGTCCACTGGTCTTTCAATTCCATCCAAAATTTGCAGCCTGATGATGATTTAACAACCATATTCCTTGATTGGATGCCTCATAACATCTTACTAACTCCCCTGCTATGATTAAAGAAACCATGAGTTAGACACTTAACACTCTTCTAAAATATAGCTCCTCCAGCCAATAGGAATACATAGTCCAATGTGAATCTCCTACTATCTTGACATCCAGCAAAATCAGAATTAGAATAACCAATGATTTCCAATTGGTCTAATTTCTTATATGTGAGCATGTAATCTTTTGTTTTCTGTAAATACTGCATAACCCGTTTGGCTGCCTTCTAACTATCCATCATAGGGTTACTTTAATTGTCACATATTTATTACCACAGGAGTGTATGTAATTCGACCAAATATTTACCTTCCTTTGGGATCGGTGAATATCCACGGGAATTACAAACACATAATCTTCATAATATTCCAAATAAACTAATATAGGCAAGAGAGGTTACTATGATAACATGTCGCTTCAATTAATTTAGTTTGAAAAATTAGTTATCCTAAAAGAAAGTTTAATATCATAATTTGAATTTTAATCATTAAAACCTTATTCTTGTACTTTTATTTAGACAAAAAAGCAAAACAGTGTTGTATTACCCAAAATGGGTCCTGCAGCTACTGCCAAACGAGTCAACGACCCATGCCGTAAATTTTGATTTTCATCCCATAAAAAATCCAATAACTTACAGTGACCAATCACTTATGTATCAAATCTGGATTCAAAACCCAATACACAGGTTATAATGTACCTCAACAACAATTTCAATCCACTATAACTTATCATGCCAAAAAAAAAAAAATAATAATAATAAATAAATAAAACAAAATAACAAAGAATTGTAGAACTTAAATAACACCATGGTCAAAGTACGGAACCCTTAATTCATTGGATGAAGCTGTTTGTACAGCCCCTTTTGGTGTTGTACATGTACAATACCCTCCCAGCGTTATCAGTGTTTTGAATAAAATAAATTCTAGGAGACTTGGTAATTTTGATTCCGTGAAACCTTAATTTTAAAGGGAAAATTATTTCAAAATTCTAAATTTTTGAAATTTAAAATTCCCAAAATCTTAAAATTCGAAATTTAGGGCCAAAATTTGGAAAAACAAAAATCCATAAATTTCAACCCTAAAATTCTCTCTTTATTCTCAATTGTTTAACATGGAGTTGGCTCCGATACCATTTGTTGAATATTTATAAAATCTAAACTTTATAAACTTTACATAATTGCCAAGATTTTTATGTCAGATAACCAAGAAAAATAATTAATGCGGAATATACCTCGATCTATTGATTTATATCTTGAATTATAATTTTTGAATTTTATCTTCCGGATCTTTAATCTTGATTTTTTATTATGGATTCTTGAATTCTTCTTCTTGATTCTTTTATTCCTTTATGTGCGATTTTGGATATTCCTCTTTAATATGTTTCTGTCTAAATTCTTGTGTTGAGGGGATGTCACAAATAATGAAAAATTGCATATGAATTAGAGACCATAATCCTATATATAGTTTTCATATGTATTTTGTCCATCGTGAAATACAATTTTAAAGGAATTGGCCTCTATACATATAATCCGACTCATATGTTACTTAAATTTGCTAAACTCAATTACTTAATTCTTTATCAGACCGCCTTAATTTTGTGTTTAACTTTAAAATAGTCTTCATACACAATTAATTACATACGTCGGCTCAACGACAAATTTATAATTTCCCAACAAATGGCACTCTTCCTAATATAATTGCGGTGCAGAAGCTATATAGATTGCAATTAACGCAATTTAACAACTAAATGAGCTATGATTTCAACTCGCTTGACAGAATTTAATTGATGAAAGAATAGTAGTCGATCACACGAATCAAATTGGAATTCCTCTGGTATTCTTGTAGACTAATAGCTAGAGGCCTAATCGTGTACGATGTCATCAACAACTTATTGAACCCTAAAAATTTTAATCCGATGAGAGGGGAATCCCAAAAATTAAGGAGTAACACGTGATGAAGAATACCTTTTAGAAGCTAATATTTCTACATTTAATGGTAACTTGCATATTGGAGATATTCAGATTGGGAGTTAGAAGTAGACTATTGTTTTCTTGATATGATGCATGTTCTAGAAAAAAGATGGTTAATTTTTATTTATTTATTTATTCGATTAAAAGGAGGAGCTGCAGAATGGAGGGAAAAATTACAATTGGATCGACAAAGACTTGGCAAGGCCCTAGCCCGTACTTGGAAGAAATTGAAGCAACTGCTCATTAAGATTTCTACCACCAGATTACAAACAATTCTTGTTCCAATAATACCAAACTTGTTAGCAAGGTAACCTTTCAATCTTTGATTGCACCTCAAAAATTTTAAGACCAACGGGGCGCATAAATTGGCTTCTAAGGTCAGAAGTATTGGTGTAGACAAGTAGAAAATCATCTTAA